GGCAAAACGCGGTATTTTTGCTGGCAAACTACGGGAACCCGATAAAGCTGCAAAGAATTCGGCCTGCTACTGTTTTTGTAAGGGACGCCGGGTCCGTTTCCGGCTTAATGAATCAAAGACATGTTAAAAAAAAAAAAAAAAAAAACATCTATTTTTGCAAAGGAAACTCCGAACGGACAACATTTTTGCTGCCAAACTTGGAAAAAGCAATATTTTTTAAATTAACCCTAAAAAATGCGTCTGTTCAATCACACAGGCGATTCCAGAGGACCTACAATAGAAAACCTTGATGGTCCTTCGGGACATCCGTTAAAATTGGAATGATACAGAGAAGATTAGCATGGCCTCTGCGCAAGGATGAAACGCATCAATCGAGAAATGGTCCAAATTAAAAAAAAAAAAAAAAAAACCTTGATGGACCCAAAGAAGAACTCAGTTCACAGCAAGTCAACCTTGATTGACCCTGGCCTCTATCCGGGATTGAGGCTTTGCCTGGCGGGCCGCTCCATCTATTGGTGGGGAGCGTCACCTGCTGGAAACCGGGTCCAGCGTCCCTTAAATAACACTTGACAGACAGTTCATCATTTGAAGCGACGCCATTGCTGGAAACCGGGTCCAGCGTCCCATAACAGTAACAACCTTGATTGACCCAGGAAGGGGAACTTCAAGTTCAAAACAAGTCAACCGCAAAGCAGTAAGTCAACGGGAATCTCAGCCCATGGGCCTTGTGGCACCCCTCCCCAAATATTACACAACAGATTTAAAAAATGGTACCTGTCTTTCCATGTTCCAGCACAAGATTCATCCTCATCTTGCACATTCCATGAGTGGTGCTGGGAGGCCTCATATCCTCCTTTCCCCCTCCTATCTTGCACATTCCATGAGTGGTGCTGGGAAGGCCTCATATCTTTTTCCACCTTTCTTTCTCCCCCTGTATCTATAGCCCTCAAGCCAGGCTGGGTACAGGAGAGTCCATTGGCTCGGTGGAGAGTTTGGCTGGGGTTGCAATTGAATGGAAAGAATGAAAAAAAAACGAGAATCAATGCGCGGAAAAAGAAAAACTAGCCTAATCAATCTAATACAGCCTCCTCCTTTTTGTTTAATCTGCTCAAAGCAGGGCGAGCAGTTGAGTTTCACAGATACTGGTATGGATAACTGATGGACACATAGAAGACCGCACTGCCTGGGGGCTGGAAACTGATGTTGGCCACAAAAAAACGGCCTGGCGTGGTTGGAAAGAACTTGCCATGTTTCGTTGGGACCCCACTGCCATCCTTGACTCTCAACACTGGAAACGAATGGACATGCCCAAACAGGAAATCCCCCCAAGGTGTTTCCCAAAAAGGCAAGTCGGGCCAGGGCTGCAGTGGTGATGGAAAGCCATAGCCCTCGACGAAGGAGGGCTTGGCGAGGAGCACGGGTCCGCGAAGGTTGTGCGCTCATCAAGTGGCCATGACAGCTGGTGTGCAAGGGTCGACGCCGTTCCCATCACAGTCACAGCGTCGCCATGTATCCATGGGAGCATGGATGGCCCAGACCCTCGGGGACCTTGGGAGAACCATGCGACGGCAAAAAACAAGAGCATGTCCGCGGCGGCCTCCCGGTCCGAAAAATGGTCCACAGCGAGGGTGCGTGGTCCATGCCGTCCAGCCGATTTCTGGAAACGGAAGGACATGCCCCCCCCCCCTGCTCGTCTGGACACCTCCTTGGAAAGGGAATGGAAAGCGGTCAGCATTCAATTTCCAGATCGCCGACCGAGTAGAAACGCCCCGTCAGGATTTCCACGACCTGCTTCCAAGCACGGTGGGGTCTGAAATTCCTTTCCCGGCCGACTTTCAGCACCGGTAGGGTCTGGAAAACACTACAGCGCCCGAAACTTTTCCAGGCCGCCGCCCAGTGGGGTCCAGGCCTAAGTTCGAGTCCACAGCATTGCTGCAAGCAGTGCCGTACCCCCGTTCAGGTGCACAGGGTCTGTGGACGGAAACCGGTCATGGAGTTCATGGAGTTCATGGCGTAGGAGTTCATGGAGTTAACAGAGAGCAGGATTTTGTTTTTTTTTTTTGGCTGGGGGGGGGTGTTTTTTTTTTTTTTAGGACAGCGGGGGTTATCGGAGGGTAACCCCCCGTAACTTCTCAATTCTGTTTTTTTCGAATAATATTTTTTTTTAATTAAAAACGAAAATAAAAAAATGCAACCAGCCAAACCTTTTGTTTTAATGTGAGGGATGCCAGACCCGTTTGCCGGTCTGTATAAGAATAAGGCGACCTCGCCCCCCCCCCCCCCCCCCCCCCCGGAAAAAAAAAAAAAAAAAAAAAAAACACCACTCTTTCGCCGTCTGCCCGTTCACCGTGAGCGGCCATTAACAGGCGCAGGGCCAAATGACCGGCCAGTCACGTTCAAGTGACCGGTGCCGGTCACCACGTTCACGGTGACGGCACCGGCTGCAAGCCATAATTTGACCCAACACCAACAACTTGAAGAGGAAGTTATTAAATTAACACAGGCCTTGCTTCAAGCAAGAGGGCAAGTTCAGTTCAGAACAAACCATGTTCACGACAGAGTTTGGGTGGGAACCCTTATGTTCAAATAAATAGACCTGAATCTATCAAAAATTTTGGTTAGCTTCAGGTGAGTTTGAAAAGCAAGATTCATGAAACCAGGACGGTCACCCTGGTTAAGTTCACCCCAGAATAGACTCAATAGTGTTACATAACAAACCTTGATTGACCCACTGGCAGGAAGAGTTAAGTCCCAACTAACAAAAACTTAAACTGGATTTGACCCAAGAAGAGCAACTTGAAGTCCACAGCACAGTGTCACCTAGATGACCAGGAAGAGCCAGTTAAATTCCAAACAAACGTTGGAGTCAGATGGACCTAAGAAGGCGAAGCTGAATTTACGATTAACCCTTAAAACCAACAAGATGGGAGTCCACAGCAGACCTTGGTTCAGCTAACAACATCATTGCAAGTTGAGAAGGGGAAATAGGACCTGGTGTGCTTGGGCAAATCAACAAAAGGAAGGGTGGGAGGGGGTCTCATAAGGTGATATTCAGAAAGAAAGAAGGCACCCACGAAGGAACCCAGGCAGACGAGCATTTGGGGTGAGGGTAGGAAGACCAAATGACTCATACAAGAGAAGAGGGAGAATGGAGCATGGCAAAGACGACAAACAAGAATACACACACACACACACACACACACACACACACA